CTCCCCTATCAACAGCATAGGAGGATCAAGGGAAGGTCATTGGAGTTATATCACTCCCCTATCAACAGCATAGGAGTACCAAGGGAAGGTCATCGGAGTTATAGCACTCCCCTATCAACAGCATAGGAGGATCAAGGGAAGGTCATCGGAGTTATAGCACTCCCCTCCAGCTAACTTTTACACAGGGAAATCACCGAGGATTCGATACAGATAAGCATTAAAACAGTTAGTAAAGCATATCCTGACTCGGCTTATAGATGCGTATTCAATGTATTACGTCAGACATTCTGGATCGACACTGTATTGTTTCCTCATACAAAGCAGAACACTAGTACAGTTGTTAAGGCACTGAAGGTGTTTCCGAAAAACGTTTGACTTAATTCTGGAAACAAGTGATTTTATTTCTTATTTACTTGTATTTATACAGATGGGGTGTTCTATATTTCCCAACGATTTGGAGAACGAAGTAAAGGTATATAACGAAAGACAGGCCAAGTATAGTATAGCCAGTTTCAACACATATTTCATCCGAGTATATTTACATTAGATTGTGTTACCTGGCCCTCGCCTATACACTGTCTTAGCTTTTAGCATGCATATGATATATCAAAAGAATTGTTTGATAAAAAAAAATAGACAATAACAAATAAAAATGTTATAGAAAAATGGCAGCACTTGATACTGCAGCATACAAGAATATACGGTTGAATTTAGTGAACATGCAATATCTACTAAATACTCCTCTAATTTCTTGTAATACATCCCGGGAGGGGGGGTGGGGGGTCGCCGTTTGACCCTGGCAGCACCGTTCTTCTCCAACCCTTTCACAGTCCGTACTTGAACACGATAGGCATCTTATTACAAGCTCGTTGGGTTTTTATCTAAGGCTCTAAACTGAAAAACTACTTCCTACACTTTAGAAAAGTTCGTAGATAATTTACCATTAGACTGTGTCTTTATTATCAGCTTGTACATTTACATATTACATTACATAATTGTTATATATATGTGGTCATTGCATTGTTAATGTATAAACGGAGACATACATACTCACCAGATCTCCCCTAGACCACACCTCGGATTTACTCGAAGCTCATGTGTAAAACAACAAGGACTCCACTCCTCCTTACTCTGAGTTCAGATGTAATACAGGAAGTATGACACGAACCAAGTTCGCCTCTAGAATTTCACCTCGTCTGCATTCTAAGTTCGGTTGTAGTTAACAAGGAAGTGTGCTATTTGATACCTTGGTCTGTGTCTACTTGAATGGAAAAACCTTCCGTGTATGTCAAATGCATGTGAAGATATTTACATTATCATATTTTCCCTCCAGGTGGCAGACTGATCACAACTTGGGCGATGTAACTTGACATCGCGACGTCGACTTTTAAAAAGCCAATTATTTAACATAGAGGGATTCGTCTGCTGCATGACCGAACTAATCGGTAGTGAAGCGGACGTAAAACCTATCAATCAATCAATCAATCAGCATAAAGGTTTTATAGGTAAAACTGCGTGCAATGTGGATTATTTTATTTACACTATGATTAAGGTTTTCGAGTGACCATGACCATGATATACGAACACTAAAACACATATTTGAAAAACCGACTAAATTAGTCGGTAGTGTTTTACACGTGCAGGTAAATAAGAAACATAGCTATAATGAATAAGAATTCCATTAATATAGGCATTTGATACTGAATGTCTAAATACCGAATGACTAAAACTGATTGTTCCGAAAGCGAGAAGTTCGCATTATCAAAGCTATTACCGAGGTTCACCGTGTGTTTGATTCACACTTACAGTAGTAGTAGTCGGTTTTCGGACTGTGAAAAATCTGTTTCACTGTGTGTTTACATTGGCAGTGCAGTCGCCAATGGAGTGAACTACATATTTCTCAATCGTTGAATTTGCTTGATCCCTGAACAGCAAGTACCTGTTTATACTACCGGGTTCGTGATAGTTACTTCCCATTGCGGCATTGCTTTCCTGTGTATTGCAATAACATTGTTACTACATACCATATATCCTCCGCGTAATTTGCAATTGTACTACATACCATGTATTTCCAATGTAACACCAGTCCACTACACTAATACCATGTATGTCCAATGTAACACCAGTCTACTACACTACATACCATGTATTTCCAATGTAACACCAGTCCACTACACTAATACCATGTATGTCCAATGTAACACCAGTCCACTACATTAATACTATGTATGTCCAATGTAACACCAGTCCACTACACTAATACCATATATGTCCAATGTAACACCAGTCCACTACATTAATACTATGTATGTCCAATGTAACACCAGTCCACTACACTACATACCATGTATGTCCAATGTAACACCAGTCCACTACACTAATACCATATATGTCCAATGTAACACCAGTCCACTACA